TGGCAAATGGGTCAAACACACACATAACTTTCACCCAAGAGACTGCTGTTCATATCCAACTTAATTGCCTGACAAATGCTGACATTGTGTGTTTCTGCAAATGGGTCACACTCGGAATTCATCGAAAACTGGCACTCTAACCCAAACCATGATCATTTTTCTGTATCTAACCAAGCAGTTTTTTGCGAGTGAGAACATGCTCCAAACAGGTTGCTCTAGTAGAGGCCAAAGGAAGGAAAAAAGATTTAAGTCACACCAACTTGTCTCAAAAACAGGAAATACCCTCCCTTTATATTCCATCAGATATTTGTTTCTGGATGAAGGCTTTGTTTGCAGTAGCACACCTGTTCTCAGAGGAGATTCAGGTGTCCTGGTGGTCCAGAGGATACAAACCTGATTATCAGCCTAAAGACGAGGACTGATTTCTGGCCAGCGCTGTGGGTGCTGGTCTTCAGATGACCCTGCGCTCTGTGGACCAGGATTTAACGTGCAACCCTGTGAGTGCTCTCCCATGCCCTGCTGACCTGCCTGGGCTGCTGTAGTCATTTGTATTCTGGAACACAACCTTAATTGGCTGGACTCCTTTCCTCTCATGAGCACAATCCCACAAAAACTGACCTTTAGAAAAATGTCCCTCTGAGGCCTCCATAGAACAGGATAGTGTGAGAACTGACATTTAGGGAGTGGGGTTGGGTCACGTCGTCACTTGGCCCCCAGCTACTGTTCTGCCTGACTGCTACTGGTAAGTACCAGATCACGTGATCTCCTGGATCAAAGGTGATTGGCTGGAGTGAGATTTTCTTTAGGATCTGTGTATGGACAGTTCTCCAGTTTTAATGGTTTTGGCTGGACAGTAAGAGGTTTACTGCTGCAGCTGAACAGCACCCTGGGGTGGTTTCCTTTAAAAACGTTCTCCGGTTCCTTCATGTATGTTCCCCTCAGGGCACAGGGGGGTCATTTAAGGAAAATGTCATTAACAGAGTACACTCGAGGCGACTCTTTTCCATGTTGTTTGGTGAGCAGCAGAGTGTGAATGCTTATTAAACTAAAACCTTTCTACACCTTTTTTTCTCATCTGCAGATACTTGAGCTTGTGAAGAAGGTTTGGTAACAACAAGCAGAGCGGAGCACCTGTTTCCATTTTCAGGTTTGTCCTCATTTTGACTTGACTGAGATTTCTGTCCTTGTTTGACTTCTTCTCTGCTCTCCTCATCATAAAGCCAAAAATGATAAATGAAAGGACGTTACAATCTGTACAATGCAGGACATCCAGTACCTTCAGACCGCTGATTCAAAAGACATATTTTCCTTCGACCATATTCAGGACATCTAAATGTGTGCTTGTTGCGAGTTTTGAGAAGCCCGAAGTGACTTCATCTTTTGTCCAGTCAACTGATAACCAGTTTATAATGATATAAAACAGAAAACTGGAAATACTGCCCTGTGGTTGTATGACTCCGCCCACCAGTCCAGTTTCTCTGACAGTTTCCATCCATGTCAGTGAAAACATGGATGCTTCACACACAGAAGATCTATACAATCAGCACAGTTTCAAGATTAGAGTCACCAATTCAGTATCTGACCAAATGTCTCCCCTTCTGTTCCTGAGATATGACATTAAAACATGATGATGTCACAGTCAAGCTGACCTTTGACCTTTCGGATATAAAATGCCAACACTTCATTATTTTATCCTGTTGGACGTTTGTGTCAAGTTCTGTCATAATTAGGGAATCAATTATTGAGTTATGCATAAAAACATGTTTTGTGAGGTCACAATGACCTTGACCTTTGACCATCAAATTCGAATCACTTCATTTTTAAGTCCAAGTGGACGTTTGTGCCAAATTTGAGGAAACTTCCTTAGGGCCTTTGTAAAATACTGTGATTATGAGTATGAGATGAATGCAAGCACACAGTGACTTTTGCCCACCAAAATCTAATTAGTTTATCGCTGAGGTCCAAGTGGATTTTCTTAGAAATCATGTTCACAAGAATGTGATGTAGGTACATATGGACAACCCGAAAAAATTATGCGTGGAGGCATAAAAAAGCAGCAAATCTAAATAGTGTTGAAGCCAGAATGAGCAAATGTTTGTTTTAGTATTGAAAGACTATCAAAACTTTGTGTCAAGTGACTTATAGGTTCATTTTAGCATCTCTCTTTTTTTCTTTCTAATCATATCATCATCCGTTCTCCAGTTTCTTTGTCTTTGATCTCCTCTGATCTCTCCTCTTATATTCTGGTCTCCTTTCTCTTCTCAATCATTTTCCTCATCTCTCCACATTTGCCGCTCTCATCCTCCAACATCTCCCTCTCTTTTCCTCTTCAAATTCATCTTTGTACTTATTCTGAATAGTTTCACAGTAGTTGGGAAAGTTTGGAGGCTGGAACATGTTCTGGGCTTTGGGGAACATGAAGGTTCTCTGAACCAAACCTGAGGCTGGTTGGGGTTACAGAGTTTCTTTTAACAAGATGTCCAGAATCCATTTTGGGGATTAAGCAGCTTTAGAAAGTTCAGGAAACTTCGAGAGCACTGGGACTTTGTTAATAAGGCACACAGAGCAGAGACTGACAGTAAAACCATCAGCCTGTGAAGCCAAATGGGAGGCATGTGGAGCTGATGCTGCCAAGGTTGAGAATCTGATTCCCTCTGGGTTCACCTGTATGAAACGTGTGGTCATGGAGGAAAACCTTGGTTATATACATTATTCTTGGCAGCAGGTGAGGGGATCGATTCTTTGTGTACATCTGTGAATAATTCAAGGCACTCTCCCAGCAAGGTTCATCTCTCTGAAGATGCATCAACTAACAGCTTGGAGCTGTGTGTTGAAAACTCTTCGAAAGGCTCAGCGTGGCTCAGATGTACATGATGACAGAATGGAAGTGAAATGAGACGGTATATTAAAATAATAATCCCTAATGAACAAATGACGCACTCTTAATCAGGCCTGTCATGATAATTATGCTACTGACTTAACTGCGATGGACATGACCTTGATCATTTTGCTGACCTCCATATTGCCCATTGGGTTTACGTGTGTTTGTTCACATATGAATGTCACCAACATGATGCCAGGATAAACAGCAGAGTTAAAAGACTTGGGTGCAACGAAACTCCTATTTTTCCCTCTCTCCACCCCCACCTACTGGTGTGAGTCCGAGGAAAAGTAAAACATCACTTCAAAGATATCACAGTGTAGCTTGCCGGTAGCCTGCAGCTGCACTATTGTGTGGAAGAGGCACAGTCCTGATAATCTTTAGTTCGCCAACCCCTGGCCATGAGTCATAAATATCATTGCTTGTAGTTTAACCCTCCAAAAACGTAATCTTCCACTCCATACATCCACCGGCATGCTCCTGGGAACTGACTTTAGCACACTGGCCGGATTACTTGAGGAAGCCCGAAGAAAAATAAAACAGTTAAAAGATGAGACAGTGTAGCTCACCAGTAGCCTGTAGCTGCACTTTTGCTGTGGAAGAGGCACAGTCCTCAACTTCATCCTCCATTCTGTAAATCCACCAGCAATCCATCTGGCTCCCAGGCTGGCCAGTCCTGGGAGCCGACTGCAGCACACTGGCTCTTCTCGGAGCTTCACTAAGCCTGTCTATTAGTCCCAAGAGGCATCAAATTTTGTTTTTAACAGTAATTTTGGGCTACTCCTATAAAGGCACGATTATTTTACACAAATGTTTCTTACGTTTTAAAAAATATATAATTTTTTTTTTTTTACATTCCTATTTCTGTGGCGGCAGTTAGCAGCTGGGTGCAGTGGTTAGCATTGTTGCCTTACAGCAAGAGGATTCATGGTTTGAACCTTTGAGTGGGGGTTTGAACCCCGGCGTGGGGTGCATGTTCTCCTCGTGTCAGTGTGGGTTTCCTCCAGGTTCTCCAGCTTCCTCCCACAGTCCAAAGACATGCAGGTTAATTGGTGACTCTAAACTGTCCGTAGGTGTGAATGTGAGTGTGAATGGTTGTCTGTCTCTATGTGTCAGCCCTGTGATAGTCTGGTGACCTGTCCAGGGTGTACCCCGCCTCTCACCCAATGTCAGCTGGGACAGGCTCCAGCCCCCCATGACCCTTAACAGGATAAGTGGTTATGGACAATAAACAAATGACTAATTTCTAGGACAATATATCATCCGACAAAAGTAGACATCGTGACAGGCCCACTATAAACTCAATCCACAAACTGCAAGAAGCTGCAAGGAATGGTTGTCATGGCTGACTGACAGCAAGTTTTGGGAAACATTGATACAGATATGTCAAAGTGATAATTGTAAGAAGCACTGATGGCAGATGGAAGGGAATTTTTTGCCATCGCTGTCAGTTTGGGGAGGAGAATCAGTTTCTTACCCAAGAATCAGTAAAGATCGTTCTATTATCTGTTTAAAAATATCTTCATTCGTTGATACGAAGGTTTCTGCCGACCCATTGCTCTTGGTGATTTGGTGATTTGCAGATCAAAAGATGTCTGGACATCTTGGTTGGGAAGTAAAAGTTTTATAGGGAACTTATCAGATCGAAGATGTTTGATTTAGCTCAAAGAACTGGTGCTTTTGATTGGTTCGCTTTGTTTCAACTGTTGTGAAAACTGTCAGTCAAACTCTGAAAAACAGCACTGAAACAGTGGATGTGACGCCTTTTACGAACAAAGTTTTCAGGTCATTTGAAGATTTCATTTTACTCTGTCTTAATACATTTAATACATTAGTATTTAATCTAAAAAAGATCTTACTGCATGTTGAAATTAGATTTACCTTAGATGTCTAAATGTCTCTTAATGTGCAAATCTGATCAGTGGTCAGTGGTTTCAGTTGGCATCATTTTTAAACTCAGGATAATCCCTCATGTGAGTCTGTATCTTAGTTTGTCACAGATCACATGAGGAAGCAACATGTTTCACTTTGAGATCCTCAAACAGACGCAGAGGATAAAGACGGTTCAGTATTTTCCTAGGACCAGTGTTCAGCATGCAGATGTGTTTGTTTTTCCTACCTGGGCAGCCCAGTCCCGGGGAGTCACAGCTGGTAGTGAGGGGTGTGTTGCTGGGCGGGGAGACACCTTTGAGGAAGGGAAGGGGAGATTAAAAACAAAAAGGTTAATCAGTTAAAATGATTAGGGAGCGTGGTTTTAATGTTGGGACAGGTTAGCAAGAGAAGTCATGTATTCAGGCTCAGTCATTTTAATGCTCTGATATTAATTCACACACCATTTTGAAGGGTGATGCAGCAGTACACTATTACAGGATGATATTAAATACTTGGTTAATTTTACGTTTTACTAATGAAATAAGAAGATACTTCCATTTGATCATTTTTCAAAAATAAAAATCCCCAGCTGAAAATGTTGACTCTTCTGGTTCTCACTGTGGTTTCTTGTCTTCCTGAAGTACTCATGGACCCACACAGATTTCCGTTTCTCTGTGACCAGTCTCCAAGTGCCCCCACTGATCCATCTCTAATGCAGATTTTACGGTAAAGATCTGTCAGTTTACTTCACAGCAAAATAGCGGTTGCCTGGCAACCGGTCTGTCTGATCTGGGGTCAGGCTTCAACAAAAAAAGGTAGTGCGGTGCACATGTTGCAACCTGCAAAATACAGTCTGTGGGCTCTCTGAGGCCTAATTGTTCAACATGTTCGTTGAGCATGTTAGCCTGCAAAGGTTAGCTACTTAGCTGTGAATGGGAATGTCATTAGTTTTGCAGGTATTTGGTCATAAGGTCAGTAGCCTACTGGACCAATCAAAGTTTTGATGATGATTAAGGGATTTGGTTAGTGGGACTGGTCAGATCCATTAATGTCGTGCCAGTCAATCTAACAGATGTTGAGCCATTTGTCAGGATAAGCAAAAACTTTGACCTGCTGGTGGCGCTAGAGGAAGAGTCAGAGGATCACCGATGTCAGTGGGATTCTTCCTCTGAGGGAACATGAATATCTGGACCAAACTTTACAGCAATTCATCCATGAGTTATTAAGATATTTCAGTCGAGACCAGTGTTTCATCGCCTCTACAATCACTCCAAGAACATGTTACACCTTCAACAACACATCCTCACTGCGATCTCGTCACATGTCTACGTTTGGTCATGGACTTTCTATGTCCACATATGACGTCCAAGGTACCCTGGGTGTGTTGGCTGTTGACTCCACATTCAGTGAATGTAGAGTCTGTAGGCAATCCCCGGAGATCTTTCCTCCGGAAGAAGAGCTGAAGAGACCTGGTTTCCGTTTGTATGCTGTTTGTAGTCCGTGTGATATTGACCAATCACGTTTGAGCCGGCTGCAGTTGTTGCCAGGTTAAACGGTCTGTGCGGTGAACTAACGAGGCGGAACATAATTGGCATCATTGCAAACTCTGAATCCATTGCAACGGTTCAGCATATTTACTTATATATAAACGGAAGTCGGAAACGGAAATTCGCCTCCTCCGCCCAAATCAAACCGGAATGCCAAAAAATCGGGGGTCAGACGCCAAATACAGCCGATGGGTTCCGAGAATGATTCTGCCTGATACATGCATGCATTGTCTGTTTTCAAAAAACACTTCTGTTTTCACAGGAAATGTGCAGTTTCATACAGTCTCTTTCAAAAATAAAAGCACTACGTCTGTACAATACCGCAAATTGACGTTTTTTTCGAATGCACGTGGTTACGTTCAGCCAACACATGCACGTGGTTGGGTTTAGGAAAAAAGAACAGGATTTGGCTTTACAATCTTACAGGCCACCGGCCACCTGGGTGAAAGTCTGTGATTATTGGACCCATCCACCACCCCTCCCACCTGACCTACTCGGACTTCGGCCGCCTTAACTTTTGTTGTCCTCCTGTGTTTCTCCCTTATACCAGTGTGAAAGGACGTTGTTTTTTTTGTCGGTGTCTGACGCTGGAATTCACTGATCTCAGGGTGACACAGGGTGAAGGGGTCTGAAGTTAAAGGACCCGAAACCGTCGGTGACCCCTGGTACTATCACTGATGATGTGTCCAAGTGCATCACTAGATGTATGTATCTACCCTAGCTCCTCCCACATTCACCCACAACAAAGCCGGTAACAGCTGTATCAGATGTGAACATTATCTCAGCTTCAATTCTGGTGTAGTTTTCATCACAACACATGATCATTTATCCGTCCACATATTGTCTGAACGTCTCGTCCTGTTCAGGTTTGTGGTGAATGATCCCAGCATGCACTGGACAAGAGCTGGATAAATCTCCTGTCTGGTAATATGATAATCTATCCGTCAAAATGTTTTCCAAAATCTTTCATTCTGCATGTGAGAAACTTTCTGACAGTATTTTTCTGATAGCATGCAGATACGTGATCGATCAGACTCTGTGGGCTGTGGTGGGACGCAGATTGGCTTCTTTCAGGGATTCAAATTCCTGATGTTTTATTTCAGGGACAGTCTGTCTAACCAACTGTGTGCTCACAGCGGCCAAAAATCAAGCGCTCCTCAAGTACTGTGGCCATTTGAAATGTAATCCTGCTCCAGCCCACACATACTGCACATTCACAGGCCTTTAGAGGGGAGTGGGAGAACAGGCGGGCAGTGAGAGCAGACGCACACACACACACACACACACACACACACACTGTGTAACAGAAGGAATGTGTTGGAGTGAATGTCAGTAAATCATTGCAGTGATCAGCCAAGTGAAGAAGCGGGAATTCAGTAATCGTGGCTGGCATGTGGTTCAAAAGAGGTGAGGAGGGCTGAGGATTGTGCCCTGTCATAATCTACCTCTCTCCATCTTTTCCTCCACCTGCTGTCCTTCTCCTCTTTCACTTTTTCCTCCCTCATACCTCCCTCTCTATTTCTTTGCCTTTTCCTCTCTTCTCTCTTCTAAAAGTCTCTCCCTTCCTGTGCTCTGACACAAGCACAATGTCATTGGAGCGGCGATGTTGGAGGTTGCAGCAGAGAAATGGATGGTGTTCGTTCAGGTGCTTCGTCATGTTTTGTTCTCCAGCTAAGGAGCCTTAGGCATAAAGATAAACGACTTCACTGCACGTGTTTTATCCTAATGAAATGTTGCTATATGACAACTTGTCCCATCCTCAATCAGGCAGCCTTGACCCTCTCCTGTTTTTTTCTTCAACGTTTCATGAATTAAAGCAGATTTATATGTTTGCGTCGGTTCTACACTGTAGCCTACACGCGGCATATGCTGCTGTGAGCACTTATTCTTGTGCGGTGGTGTGTCTATGTCACTCTGCAGTTACACCTCCAAAACGCTTATCGGCGATGGGATTCCTGTGAAGTGCTGTAAAGTTTGACTGATTCAAAACACACATTAAACACACATTAAACATGGCTTAATAGAGACAATTTCAAACACAAGTACACAAATCAGCTTCACTATAACTTGCAGGATTCACAGACAAGCACTTGTCTTTATCTGGACACATTTCCCCACAAATACAACATGCTAACGTTATTAGCACGAGTCTATTACATTTTACATTGTATAAATTAGCCTAGCAGCTAGCAGAGATTTCCTCTGCTCATATGAAGCCAGGGACAACAGCAACATTTAACAAAGGTAACGTTGAAAAATTTGGCTCCATTACAACTCACAAGGTTCATTGACAAAACAACTGTCTTATACTAAACACGTTTTCCAAACAAATACAACATGCTAACGTTATTAGCGCAAGCCTATTGCATTTTACATTGTATAAATTAGCCTAGCGACGAGCAGAGATTTCCTCTTCCCATATAAAACCAGGGACAACAGCAACATTTAACAAAGGGACCGTTACATAATTCGGCTCCATTACAACTCACAAGGTTCACTGACAAAACAACTGTCTTATACTAAACACGTTTTCCAAACAAATACAACATGCTAACGTTATTAGCACAAGCCTATGGCATTTTACATTGTATAAATTAGCCTCTGGGCTAGCAGAGATTTCCTCTTCTCATATGAAGCCAGGATAAATCACACACGGGACTTAAAATGCTATTTCAGTGGAGGCTTTACTGTCTTCACAATTTATTGTTTCTTATCTGTGAAATTAAAGTAAATAAAAGCTTTGTTTCCACTGAGTGAAATGGTTTCAGCTTACAGAAACAGACAGGAGGTCTGTGTCACTGCGACGTGTAGTTACATTTCTGGGGAGGTGCGCGTCAGGCTATGCTGTAGGTGTTCACTGGAAACAGTGAAGCGGAGCTACAGTTGCAGCTGGACGAGGGCATTTAACTGGACTACTGTCCTTGTCCCAGTATACAAGCACGGGAGGGGAATCCATTTATTGATCCAAGTATGTGCGACTCCTCTACGATAGGTGGAGATACTCCCCCTTTCAGCTTGTTAGTATTGGACCTTTTTCCTGTTGACCTATTACATCACAGACCAAACAATGGACAAACAAGTTAGCTACGGTTAGCTAGCAGCTAATTGGTGTCATGGTGGACAACTTTACAGCTCTGTACATTTGGTCTGTCTAAAAAGTCACGGCTCTGGATGTAGATTACACCATGTTGTTACTGGCTTCTTCTTCTGTTACACATTTAATGCTATTGGACTTCTGGGTCAAAGCCCGCGGAGGAAACTGTGGAGCATGCTCAGAGCGCCTTGGCCAGTTTGGGTCTGACTGACTGTATACATGTTGGATTTCCAGATTGGTCCCACTGTGACAAATTCACTTTAGGACCATTTCACTCACACTAACACGTTTACACAGATTTTAAAAGTCTGGTTTTAGTCGGACTAACACAGTAAATCCATTTTCTCTGATGTCATTGAAATGTACTGAGTCTGGGCTCCATGCTCGTTCCGACAACTTGACGGACAATTGCAAAAGGGCGGGGCTTAGTGACAGGTCAGAATATTTCGAGGGGCTTATCTGTAGCATGCTTGACTGAACTTAACTGTGCCGCACAGTTAAAGATTATAACTTCCTCCATTTTTGAGTCTCCAACTCTTCATTCAATCAAACGTCAGCACTTTTGAGATGATTCGCAATTTGCATGTTAAACTTAATTAAAAGTTAAACTGAATGAAAAAGCTCTGAGTGGATTTAGCTCATTGAGCAGTTTTTCTTATTGTGGTGAAATTT